TCCACAGTAAGGACTGGTTGGCCTTAGGAAAGATGCAAATTCAGGGAAAGAACAAAGGAGGAAAAGAAGAGAGAGAGAAGTGGAAAAGTGTGTAAAACCACTTATGTTCTATCCTGTGTCTATTCATAGGAGACACATGGTGTGTAGATCCTAGAAGGCCAGGGCTGACAGGACCTTGGGTGGCCATCTGTTCCTGACAGGCGGAAACCATGTAGCCAGGAGGGCTGCCTTATCTGAATCCTCAGGGTCGGGTGTTTCAGGACAGGGTCTCCACTTTCCTTTAAATGCCAGCGCTTCGCTGCTTGCTCTTAATAAGTAAGCCCTGTCATATTTCCAGTCTCACTGTACCTATTTTCATGTAAGCTTCTTTAGTATCATTTTTCTGTGGGTTTATGTGACAACTAAGTCATCCACTTCTCACACACCCTTATACAGTCTTTCTAGTAGTTGAAATCCCAGGCTCTAGTGAGAAAGATCTGAATTTTGACAATCACTCTGTCCATAATAGCTGAGATCTTGGTGAAACTACTTTTGTTTCTCTCAGCCTCACTTTGCTTTTGTGTTGATGAACATAATTATGGCCTCTCAGCATAGAACTAGTATGAGAAAAAATCAGAAAATGTGTAGAGAGTTTAATACTATGTCTTGCCCTCAATGAACACTCAATAAACTTTAGCTTACAATAGTTCCAGTAACACTAATACTGGTAGTAAGAGTAGCAATAGTACTAGTACTACTAGAAATGTTTCATTCTTGTCAAACAAAACATTCTCAATAACTAAAGTTTTTCTAAAAATTTGTATGTGATATATGATATGTACTTTAATTTTTGAAGGGTTGTGTTAACTAGAAAAATGTGTGTTGATGCAAGGATATTCAGAATAAAGCAGCATGCACTAGAAATCGATAATCAATTCATAACCCTGGAAAGACTCTAAGGTGGCCAGGGGTCATTGTTCACTTGCACTGAGATGCAACAAGCTCTTCTCTGTCTCAGAATGGTTACGTGACAGACTTCTTGTGGACCGAACTACTCTGTCAATGTTATGCACATGAATAAATTTATCAGATTATCGAAGCCTCAGATTAAACATCAGTTCTTCAGGGAATTTCCTTAATCCACCATTTTTCTTTCTCACAGCAATCGTTTATTCCTCATAACATTCATTATACTTTGTATGTGCATGTTCCCATGAAGTCAGACATGGGCTTTATTTATTTGACACTAAATAAATACTTGTATAAAGTTATGCTGAATGAATGGTATCAATCAGTAAAAAATCCGTTAATATTTCAGCATGAGGTTGAAAGTGAGGTGAAAGTCATGAACTGCATAATCAAGTAGGTGTTGCTGGGAATTTATATAAACACAAGAGTTTCTCATTGATATAAAGGAGATGATGTGAAACAAAAGTATATGACCACTCACCTACTTAGAAAGGCTCCTTTCTCCAGTCTAAAAAGAAAAAAAAAATCATGTGTTAAAATATGGCAAGAACGTGTTCTCTGAACTACTGGGGTGCTTGTTCCATTAGCCCCTGTATTTTTCTGGATCCCCAGCTTCAAAATAAAGTCTCCAGAAAAAGGCCCCTATCTAAAAATGCCCTGGAATTGCCTCATGAAATCCTGGTGCACCTGAAGCCCCAAGACAAACAGATACTCATGAGCACGTAACCCAGCTTTTCTCTAGCCTGAAATAAAGCAAAGGAATTAGATTCTCCCGTTCATATGACATTCACAGGCCTATGAAATTGCTGCAGCCACATGAAATCAGAAGGTCTATGATACAGCCATATTTCTGTGATCATCATCTCAACAACAATTCTGGGATATTTGTCTTGTTTTATACCTCCTGTTTTATTTCCTCAATTTTCCACATCCACCAACATACCTGTGACAAAATATGAGGGTCTGGTTCTTTTGGAGAAGAAGAGAATAGGCTATGAATTGTGAAAGTGCATGGTAAATCCTGATATTTCATTTGCTGACTCACAGGCCTCCGAATGCCAAATTGTGCATCTCCCTGTTCTCACCACATCTGCTTCCATCCAGCAGGAGAAGCTCCTCACCCAGCTCATTCCCTTCTCAGCCTAACCAGCTGAACCCCACCTGGTTGTCAGCCTAATAATAATGGACTGCACCTCAATGTCACCTGGCAAAATCACGTACTTCTACAGAAAACAGGAGCTCCTCATCCTCTTGTTACCACAAGCCTTCCTCCCACAGACCCTGCTGGTTCGCTCCACTCCCAAGTGCAACCCCCGTGTGGTCCTGCACAGTGTGTGGTGCCCGTCCCAGGATGTGAGTATATGTGATTAATAAACTGCTGTCAGTCTCATCTGTCCAGTGTCAGGTATTGTGTGTCTGAACATCTAATTCTCTTTAGGGTGGGGAATGCTCCTTCACCGACAAGATCAATAAGAGGTGGTCAGAACACGGGCAGATGAGATGGTTGGCCCAACCATAACCTCACTATAACCCACCTTGATGATACAGTTCCTTTCTTCTGTCTGAAAAAGAGGAACAGCTCATGAGATGCCAACTATACAACATAAAGTAATGCCTATTTAGCAAAGAAAATGGAGAACTTACCAAGCTCTTTTTTGAGTGACTCTAAAAATGAAAGGCGATAACAAAACAGATTTTACAGAAATGAAGTTCAAGGTTTACTTTCTAGACCACAGGTGGCAAACACAAGGCCTGAGGGCCAAATCTAACCCTCCACCTTATTTCCTCCACCTTGTTTCTACCCAGCGGCACTGCCGCTGAGCTCCTTGCCCCTAGTTAAAGAGTAGTTACATTCATAGTCCCAAAATTACATTCAGCCTTTTGAAGGCACCCTCAAGGCTGATGTGGCCCCTGGTGAAAATGAGTTTGACACCCCCGTTCTAGACTGTTACTAAGCCCAGATCCTAAATGCTACTTTCATATACCTAGATCAAGAAATTTACCTTAATCAAGAATTACTATGCTCATTTTTTATTGTTGTTCAGTTACAGTGTCCCACCATTTTTCCCATTGCTCTCCCCTACCCCCCCAGAGTGAATCCCTCCCATTGCCCATGCCCATGAGCCCTCTATTTGTGTTCCTTTGTCTGCCCTTCCCCTTTTTACTCCGTTATCCCTGTCCCCCCCCCCACTGGCTACTGTCAGTTTGTTCTTTATTTCCAAGCCTCTGCTTCTATTTTGCTTATTTGTTTGTTGATTAGGTTCTACTTATAGGTGAGATAATGTGGCATCTGTCTTTCACCGCCTGGGGAATGGGCATCATAAACAAATCAATGAACAAGTGCTGGTGAGGTTGCAGAGAAAAGGGAACCCTAGTGCACTGTTGGTGGGAATGCAGACTGGTGCAGCCACTGTGGAAAACAGTATGGAATTTCCTCAGAAAACTTTAAAGATGCAACTATCTTTCAATTCAGCAATCTCATTGCTGGGACTATATGCTAAGAATCCTGAATCACCAATTCAAGAGAACGTATGCAGCCCTATGTTCATATCAGCATTATCTACAATAGCCAAGTGCTGGAAACAGCCTAAGTGCCCATCAGTAAATGAGTGGATCAAAAAACTGTGGTACATTTACACGATGGAATACTATGCAGTAGAAAGAAAGAAGGAGTTCCTACCCTTCATGACAGCATGGATGGAACTGGAGAGCGTTATGCTAGGTGAAATAAGCCAGGCAGCGAAGACAAATACCATATGATCTCACCTGTAAGTGGAACCTAGTCAACAAAACAAACAAGCAAGCAAAATATAACCAAAGACATTGAAATAAAGAACAAATTGACAGTAACCAGAGGGGAGGGGGAAGAGGATGATGGGGGAAAAGGGAAAAGGTCATCAAGGAACACATATAAAGGACACCTGGATAAAGCCAAAGGGGGGTAGGATCAAGGGTGGGGTGGGGGGGGTGAGGTGGTGAGGTATGGGGAAATGGAGACAACTGTACTTGAACAACAATAAAAAAAGGAAAAAGAACCTTTCTAAATTATAGAACATTAAAACTGATTTAAACTTAAAAATATATGAAAGGACTGATACACACAGCATGGTTGAATCTCAAAAAATATTCTGTTTAACTGAGGAGGCCAACACAAAAATATATGTCCTGTATGATTCCTTTTTTGTTGTTTTGAAATTTTATAATAGGCAAGACTAAGGTGTCGTGATTTACATCAGATACTGTGGTTTTTCCTGGATTGTCCTAACAATGGACATGAAGAAAATTTTCAAGAGATGGAAATGCTCCACATTTTGACCAAGGTGGTGGTTACATGAGTGTAAGCATTGTGAAACCTCACTGAAATGTGATTGAAAGCCCAAATTTCCATTGTATGTAAATTATATCTCCATACATTGAATTTCTTAAAAGCTGATTGCACCTCACTGTCTCTAGAGACTTTAGGAGCTTGGTATCCCTTTGGCCAGACTGTTAGTGGCTCCCGTGCCAGTGTTTATGCAATTGCTGTTTGTGTCTCTGATTATCTGTAAACCTTGTGTGACATGAAGAATCATGAATTGGACTTGGAAAGTATGTGAAATGGAAAGAGTGTACCTTTTGAGTACATTCTATGTCTGGCACCATACGTGTGGTGTTGTTTCTGTTCCACTCTTAGGAGCCTTTTGATTCCTGGCAATACAGCCCTTGGGTTCTCGGAGCACAGAGCCTTCCACTCCCGACCTATTTCCCCGACCTTTCACATGGCTTCTAATGTCATTTAGGGTGCAGTGCAAGGAGGCATGCTCCTGTTGGTTTCAGTCTCTAAATCAGTTACATTTGTGGATGGAACATTGTGATGACCAACACACCTGAATATCATACAGGAAGAAGAGTTCCTCTCCTGAATGATGTGATTTCAGCCCTTTGCAGACTGGAGGAGGAAGCTACTCTGAGCATTTTTCACCAAGGCCATTTTAGAGTTCCTATCGTTCTATAGCTCAGCTCAGTCCAAAGATCACTGGGATGGCCTTTATTACCTCCACTTTCAAAGAAACTAGACCTAGAGGCAGCCCCTGCCTTTCTTATCAGGCACATTCTAGGAGAGGCATTCAAATGCCACTTCTTCTTAGAAGCCCTCCTTGTTCCTGCTTCTAAGAATATTTTCCCAATGCAGGCATGGGTTAGAAACCTGCTGCTCCTGGCCCCTGCAGCCACACCCTGGAATGCTGGCCGCAAGGATAACCAGGTGCAAACCGTCTCTGGAGCCGAGCATTGCGGTGCATTGAGGAGACCAGAGGCTTTAAGGAACACTGCATGGCTCAGTACAGATGGTGAGAAAGAAAAGAGCGGTGATGTGCAGGTGTGTCTTTGGGACTTGTGGGTCTCCAGGTTACATGGTGAGAAAACTACCTTCCTTATTGGAGTTAAGCCACAGGAGAGATTTGTGGTCAAAGAAAAAAATAATGTATCAATGAAGGGAGGAAGGAATAAGTGTAAGAAGGAGGAAGATAGATTTGCTGAGAAGAGTGAACTAATTTTATGTCATACTTAATTTCTCAGCTTTGACCTCAAGGTTTACTATTTCAAGAGCCCAGGAGAGAGGGTGCATTCCCAGAGAAGCAAAATGGCTTGCAGGACACAAGAGAACAGTTCACGGTTGTTCACACTGCTGGGGAGACAGCTGGTTTTCAGAAACAAGAACAGGAAAGGGAAAACCACTGGGGGCGGGGGTGTTGGTAGTGTTTATCTTAAGGTCTGTGAGGGAAAACAGACAAAAACCTGTGTATAAAAGTAAATGTTTGAACAGGGGATGTTTTTTTCTAAGCCTGTTCGTTCCCTCTGCCCTTTTCTGACCTTCCCCCACAGAGCACCTGGGTCTGAGTGAAGGTATTGTGCTCCCAGCGAGCTCCTCCTCCTGCCCTGAAGAAGATGGTGGGTTTTTCTGCCTGTTCTGCTGGCTTTCTCTTCCCTCTCCTCCTCCTCCAGCTGCCCACATGGTGCTCGGCAGGTCAGTGTTCTCCCTCATGCTTTTTATTTACTGGTTTATTTTCAGTGGTTCTTCTTACATAATGACAAAACAGCTGTCCAGCTGTCACAGCTCTACCCCCTCTCAAAGGCAGTCACATCCTGGGACACTGTGGCTGTGTCTGCCACCAGCAAAAGGCTTGAAGGGTTGGGCCAGGAATGGGAGCGATCTCCTTCGTATCCATAGCCCTCACTCCTTTGAGCAGACCTCATAAAACTCACAGCTCTAATATTTATCAATAAAATAAACTGTTATTGAGTATGTGGGATTTTAGCCTAATTTTGATGTTAATGTTTGTAAAATGTGCTTTGTAATGTTCACACTGCCAAGAAAGCCCAAGTCTGAGTACAAAGAATTTGAACTTAAGATCCCTGAGCTCTATCTGGTTATAACTTTGGACAAACTATTATTTCTGGGACATGAGTTCTTCCATTTTAAAATGAAAGGACCTTCACAATAAAGTTTTAGACACCAGGTTTAAAGATACGCCAGCTATGAGATTATAATAGTGATAATTTTTATCTCTTTAATTTAAGGTCAATTAGGCAGTGAGAATCAAATGTTTGATTTCCATATATGTTGACTCAGCAATTCTACAAGAATCTATCCTAGAGAAACTCTCTCCCATGTGTACACTTATTATATATGTAAAATGTTTGTTGTGGGGCTGTTTGTAGTAATAATCAACTGGAAGCCATGTAAATGTACACCAGTGTGGGAAAGTTTAAACATGATGGTATAGGCACTGTCGACATTTAGTGCTGCTCTATGTACTATTAATAAAATGGGCGGATGTTCCTTATTGCAGAAATTGATATGTAATTGCCTGATTTGTGTGAGGCAGAATGATATTTTCCACTTCGTTGTGACTATAAGTCATATCAAATACCTTTTTATAAATTAAATGTCTCATATAACATGTATGACCAATAGCCCAGTATCAACTGGTAAAGAACGTAGATCCCTATAGCAATACGCTGGGCTGTCCACAGGAATAGGAAGGAAGGGGGACCGTGGCCCCCGTCCAGCCCAACAGCCAGTTTCATGCTCCTTGCCCAGGACTGCCTGATTCTCCTCCAGGGTCAGACTGGCCACAAGCTTCGTCCTCTAAGTTCATGTGCCTTTACCATTTTGCTCAGCCCTCCCAAGCACCCACAGAGCTTGCCTTCTGAACCCTTCCCACTGCAAAGCTCTGCCTCCGCAAGCCCTTTAAGTCCTAACCATTCACTGGATCCGCAGTATCTTGGGCTTCTGAATGCAAATTTTATGCAGGGGCACCAGTCACTTCTTAGTCATCATGGACTCCTATGGCAAAATAATTTTCAAGCAGGTGGCTGTAAGTGACTGACAAGAAAATGTATTTTATAGTTCAGATGAAGTTTCCAGTTTAGCCTCGGGCATCCTCTTTTCCTTCCCCGGGGAGTCCAGCCCTCCTCGCTGTGAGGGCTTCCTCCCTCTTCACAACTGGAACCACTGGCCTCCAAGTTTTATACTGCTTTCAGGCAGAAAAAAAATAATTTCTTTTAAATTATTATTTTTTATTTAAAATATTTTTAATTTTTCAATTACAGTTGACATTCAACATTGTATTTAAAATGTACTACATAGTGGTTGGACAATTATATAATTTATAAAGTGTTTCCCCTGATAAGTCTAGCACCCATCCGACACCACACATAGTTATTGCACTATTATTGACTGTGTTTCCCCTATTGTACGTTACGTCCCCATGACTATTTTGTAACTGCCAATCTCTACTTCTTAATCTCCTCACCTTTTTCACCCAGTCCTCCAATACCCCTCCCCTCTGGCACCATCAGTTTGTTCTCTGGGTTTATGAGTCTTTTCCTGTTTTGTATTTTTATTTACTCTGATTTTCAGATACTACATAGGGGTGAAATCATGGCATTTGTCTTTTGTTTGTCTGACTTATGTCACTTAGCATAATATCCTGCAGGATATCCTGCATGGATATGTTCCATGGCTATTTGCAAGAAAAAACAGCCTACCTTACCTTTTAAATTCTACTTTTCACCTTGGGAAAGCCATACACTATAGCCCTCTCTCCACTGCACCCCATGGGGTATGTGGTAACCTAAAATTCAGGGTCCCAAAGATCTACTTATCTGCCTAGGACCAGAGTGCTGAGAGCCAAAGGGATGACTGGAGGGAGGAGTACCTTCCAATACCCACTTCACCACAAAAAAGATAAATGCTTAATATGCTACTTTGCTATATTTAATTCTCAGTAAATCTCTTTTACCTAGCTTTTACACAGCTTACATATAAATACATAGAAAAAATGTCTTGTCACTAGAGAGACCCTAGTCAGGGGCTCCCCCTCCTCGATTCTTGTCTTGCTCACAAGAATTCAGATGAGAGACGAACATGTGCAGTGGAAATGAGATAGCAGATGTGTTTGTGAAATACACTTCAGCATGAAAATACAGGCAAGCACTCAGCTAGTCTGAACACCCCACGTATAGAGGTAATAAAGTTATTGATATGTTTTTTAGTAACTTTATTCGGCACACTTAAGTGGAGACTGCAAGTGGACACTCAAGTAATCTGGTTCCAAGGTTATGTACTTTAACCATCTTCTAGGTTCCTCTCCTCCTCCTCCTTCCAGACCTTGAGGCTTCCTTTCCTAGCTATGAAAAACCTTACAAAGGGTTTCTTTTCCATGGAAGCGGTACACACATAACTTCAAGGGCTCTCCTCCTGTGCTATTGCTGTTCCACTTGTAATGCCAGGCAGTCTTATCACACCAGGCTCAAGCCTGCTGAGTCAACAGGTGAAACATATCTCCCAGTTTGCTCCTGGCCTCTTGTTTTGAGCTCTTCATTGGACTGTACTGAGCAGGGGCCCTGCTCTATTTCCCATCTGGCCGCTCATTTCTGACTGCTACCTGACATTATCACATGCCAAACAATCCACAGTTGTTCCTTCAGGGGGATTCAATGGGAAAAGTAAGATTTTTATATATAAATAAATTTTAAATATATATTAATTTTTTAGAAAACAATACAAATAAGAAGCAAATATGTATGGGTCTCTAAATAAAGAAATGCTGATGGGTCTTTCATCTCATCTCCTCTCCCTCTAATCTGTGTCTGATTCATATGCAGCATCTGGGTTTTCTGTGAAGGGACCAGCTGAACCCGTCATGGCCCTGCTGGGGGCGGATGCCACTCTGCCCTGCCAGCTGTCCCCTGAGCAGAGTGCAGCCCACATGCACATCCGGTGGTACCGAGCCCAGCTCTCCCCCGCTGTGCTCGTGCACCAGGACGGACAGGAACACGATGGAGAACAAATGCCGGAGTACCGTGGCAGGGCGGAGCTGGTGGCGGACTCCATCGGCAAGGGGGCCGTGGCCCTGCTGATACGCCACGTCCGTGCCGCTGACAATGGCCAGTACCGTTGTTATTTTAAAGATGGTCCCATCTCCCAGGAGGCCACTGTGGAGCTGCATGTTATAGGTACGTTAACTTAGCACAGACAGTGCATGTCCTTCTATAAAGCAAAGGAAAAGGTGAGGACATCTGGATCTCCAACCCGGCATTTCTGTGGTTTTCCACATGAGGACATGTTACATTATATCACAGAATGTCAGTTTTCTGAGCTGGACTGTGAGGATAACACTATATATTCTATTCACTTCTAAATACCAACAAAGGCAATATTTCTGCTATTTGGTATACCAAAAGACCCCAGAGAATTGATTGACCAGTATTGGTTCAGATAGGTATTGATAACCTCAGACATTATAAATTGATAACCTCAGACATTAGTTTTACCCAATCAGGAAGGAAAGACAAGTAATAGAATTAAACTCCTTTTTCTAACTGTAACTTTCCTGTTCATTTCTCTTCTGGGAATGACCTTGAAACTCTCTTACTCCAAGTGCAGTGCACAGGCCTTCATTCAGTTTCGAAAGTGCATCACAGGTCAGCATGATGCTGGCTTTGAATGGCTTCTTGACCTCTGAGCTTCAGTTCATTCCTCAGTCTAGTGAAGGGAGCTCGGCCTTCAGCCTCAGAAACTCCTGAGCACCAAACACCACATGCTTCAGGCACGTGTCTTCTCTCCTCAGGCTTGGGCTCTGTCCCTCACATTCACATGACGGGGCCTGAGGATCGCGGGATTCGAGTGCTGTGTTCCTCAGGCGGCTGGTTCCCAAAACCCAGGCTGCAGTGGAGTGACACGGGGGGAGTGAAGCTCCCATCCCTCTCTGAGTCTCAGACCCAGGATGGAGATGGGCTCTTCTACATGGAGGCATCACTTGTGGTCACAGACAGTTCTCTGGGCAATGTGACCTGCTCCATCCAGAATCCCCTTTCTGGGCAGGAGAAAGTGGCCACCATCTTCCTCCCAGGTCAGTGAGGCACAGACCCCAAAGCAGAGTAGGGGTGTGGTAAGGGCAGGGAGGGACGCAGGGGGCTGCAAGGGAGCCTTAGGGAGAGGGAAGGGCTTCCCCAGGTCGGTCCTCACTGCGTCTGCACCATCTGTGTCAGAGCCCTTCTTCCCCAAGATGTGTCCGTGGAAGGCAGCCCTGGCTGGAACACTCCCTGTGCTGGTGCTCCTCCTCAGTGGGATCAGCTACACTGGCTGGCGAGAACATCTAGCCAAAGAGAGAGCAGTGAAGAAGAGGAAGAAAGAATCTCATGAAAGAGATCAGATGAAGAGTGAAAAAGAAATGGCACATAATGCCAAAGGTAATTTGGGGCAGCAGGGTAAATAGGAGGTTTGTGCAAAGGCTGGGCATACATTATATAGAACGGGTGAGGAAATTAAAGGTTGCCAAAGGACCCAAGGAAAACACAGGGCCCCGGGAATTCCAAAGAGCTAGGAGCCCTAGGAAAGGAGAAAACCATGAGGGAAGCCCAGAGATCTGTGCAAGCGGTCACGCAGCCGCCTCCGTGTGGCTCAGACCACGCCATGTCCCTGCACACCCCCGCTGAGCTACTGCTCCTCCTGTGGAAACGCCTCCCACTACCTTCTCTTCCTATCCGTCCCTCAAAGACAAGCTTCAGAAACACCTAAGAGACCTTAAACTGCTACAAAGTTTGCATACGCCTTTCTCTGTGACCCCATGACACTGTCCAGGCAACTTTTCTTAGCTCTTGTCATTTTAGGTTTGACTTGTAAGTCTGCTAATCTTTCTCACCCGCTTAACCATGGTGCCCTTAGGGAAGGGCAAATTGAATCCATTAGCTACACCCTGAACTCAGGAGCAGCTAAAACCCACTTTCATGGAGTTTATATTTTCTCCTCTTTCAGCAAATCTCACAGCAGAGCTCGGTGAGTCTTGCTTCTTCTCATGCCCCGTGCAAAACTTGTTCTCCTTTCACAACTGTTCTGGGTCTCTCACTGAATGTCGTTTCTTCCAGGAAGGAGAAAGAAGCTGTACGCAGCAGGTAAGAGACTCCAGGTTTCCCATGCTGCCTGAGGCCCTGATGCCAAACACTTTCTCAGCTCCCTCTCCTCAGAAGAAAACACTAAAAGATCTAATAACAATTAGTGGAAGAAAAATAAGGGGGAGGGAGTGGAATTGGAGGCCCCAGATTCATGTTTCACAATGTTTTACCCGGATCTGTTCTGTTTAGATTGGAAGAAGGCCCTGCTATATCCTGGTAAGTAAGTAACTCTATGGCCTTTGATCTTGACAAGTGCTTCTGTTACTCTGAGCCTCATAGGCCCAGACAGAAATACACACAGACTCACCACAAAAACAAATCCACTTGCAAGGTGTGAAAATTTATTCACTTTCGACCTGTAGTATTTTGCATTTCAAGGCTTAAGTAATCAATTGTTTTCTGGAGCCACAAATAAAGGACAAATAAATAACTGCTAACATGGAAATCTTACAGCACGGATAGGGTATGACTCAGCATGGATTGCTAGCCTGTCCACTGTGGAGCCAGAAGGGGCAGAACTCAGAGCAAGTCTGACGAGATTTGGAAAGAGTAGAGAATATGCTATTATGTCAGCATCTCTGTATTACAAATAAAGTTTAAAAGAGCAGATAATTTTTAAAAATATAAACTATGAGTTTGCTTATTTTACCTATTTGAAATAAAGAAAGTAAAGTTCAATATACAGGGATGAATTTATGTTTGAAAAGCCTGAAAATATCCCAATATCATTTATAAAAATATGTTTATCTGGTGGTAGAAGGAATTGACTATTTTTATACCTCCTGTATATTGTCTGGGTTTATAAGTGTGTGTGTGCATCTGTAATAGATCTGGACCTCGGAAGCACACTAGGTGATTTTTGAATGTACATGTGTGCAGTTGTGTATGCCAGACGTTGCGCTGGGTGTTGGTGGCGTAAGCCATTATCTCTGACCCTGTGGATCTCAAAGTCCCCTGGGAGAGGAAGCTATGAACTACACGCGGGCTGATAAGTCTTTGATAAAAAGAAACCCCTCCCAAGAATTGAAGTTGATTAAGCAGTTTCTATTAAGAGTTTTGTTTCACAAGTTGCTTTAAAATGTTCCCGTGGCTTTAAAGGACACAGCAAGTTCTAAGGATAAGGACAGGAGCCTTAGTTCTCACTCCACCAGTCACAGCTGAGGAAGAGGGTCAGTCTTGGTTTTGACCTCAGTTTCCTTATTCTAAGACGAAGAGTTTGGAGTACACGATCTCAGAGGTTCTTCTGGACTCCTGCACTCGTAGGCTCTGTGTTGTCACAGGAGGGACGTTCAGTGAGGACCATGGTGCTGCTCCTGTCACGAATCATGGATGTGTCTTTATTAGCCTTTGTCCCAAGACTCTTAAGAGAATATCCAATTTTTAAATAAAATCACAGGTCCCGTAGGCAGAAGCAAATGCAGTAATCCTTCTCTGGAAAAAAAATAGCAACATTCTGATTACAGGGGTCAAAATAACAGGGTCAATTTAAAGGTCTTAGTCATAAGCTTAAGCTTTCCTCTGAGGAGGTCATAAGCTAGGGGGAAAAAAACAAATAAAATTAAATGAAAGGACATTTTTTAGGTCTCATCCTCAATGAGGAGGGCCATAAAAGTCTTAAAAGCATAGGCATCTAGGACAATGGACCCTTCTACAGGTGCCCCAACCCTGGCTCGGGCTGGAGAAACTTATTTTTCCAGCATTGGGATAAACTAGGTGATAGTTCCCCACCTGAGACAGGGCACGGGAAGCACGCCGTAGTTTCTGGGCACTCCCAGAGTTCGAGGGGCTCAGCGGAGGAAGTGAGGAGGGTTGAGAGGGGGAAGCAGTGAGCCAGGGAAGGAAGCATCTTGCCTCCCTTTCGTTCCCTGGTGTGTTTCATCTTGGTCTCACTTTGTATTGCTCTTTTTCAGACTGGAGGAAGGAGCAGTTCGAGCTTGGTGAGCAGTTGTCTTTGGCTCCCTTCTCTTGGGCCCCCTTTTTCCTTCCTATCACCATTTCCTAGTTGAAGATGGAGGCACCATTATTCTGGTAAAGATAGGGAAGAACATGAAGATCAGTAAACACGAGTCTCAACCGAAAATTACTGCTGGCATTGGCTACTATGGTTGTGCTTCTGGCTTGGTATGCAGGCCTAGCTTTCTCCTCTGTGGAGTCCACTTGGTTCTAAAACAGAAATTAATGTAGCCCTTCCACTGAGGAGACCACAACGAGTAAAAAATTGCCCAAAATGGCAAGAGTAACTTAGCTGGTCTTTTTAAAGAGGTCAGCTCACACAAGCATGTTACTAAGGAATGTAGATCTGATTTGTAGAAAACAAGGAAAAAACATCATTCTCATGGAAACACTGCAAGTCATTGGCTCACATTGACATTCTGCCAAGACGGTGATAGTAGCCTAGATGAGATTAGACCGGAGGTAGGCACAGCACCCTGGGAGAGCACAGCTCACCCCCAGCTCCACCTCCCCCAACTCGCCCACTCAGAGAAGCGCTCTTTCTCCACCCTGACCACATTTGCCACTTTATGGCCCCCACTACCCAACAACAGGGGTCTAAAATTTACAATGTTGTCCTTCCTTTCTTTTTCTTCCAGCCCCTGTGACTCTAAATCATAAACATTTTTGCCAGAACAATTCTGACCCAGAGAGAAAAGAGAACATGGGAGAGGAAACACAGGATCTCTATCTTAGTAAAAACCAAGGAGACCAAAACCTTATCACGCTTAATATGGAAGGCTTCACTTCACGGAGATACTATTGGGAGGTGGACATTGAGGACACCTGTGAGTGGACTCTAGGCATTTATGAAAAGCCCAAAGACAGCAGTGGATCACCCCAAGATCCACTAAGGAAGAAATTCAGAGTCTTGGAGAAGAAGGGATGTGAATACAGGGCTCTCACCTGTTGTCTCCAAGGCATTTCTCTAGAAGAGCCTCTCCGGATAGAAGTGTGTCCAAAAAAGATTGTGATTTTCTTGGATTATGAAGATAATGACATTTCTTTCTACAACATGACTGATGGTGCCCATATTTTTTCCTTCACCCAGGCTGGATTCTCTGGGTCACTGTATCCTTACTTCAAACTGAAGTCCATGGAGCTCTCTCCATCTGTTCAATAGTGAACAACTTAGAGGAAAAACCTAGACCATGGAGGCAGGAGCCCATGAATGCTCCGAGAGCACTGCTGGGACTCCAGTCCTGGTGGCTGGCCTCAAGCCCACCGATTTTGAGGCCTCTTTGCCCAAGGCCTTGTAAGTCTGCATGACCAGAGCTTCTGACCACATCAAGCAGTGTTTCTTAAACAATCTGCAGAGAAGAGTCATTTTTGGTTATTGTTATAAATATATTATTTCTTGATTTATATATAATATATCACAGACTGATCATTTTCTAAAATAAATTACTGAAAAATGAAGTGAATAAAAAACAAAAATGCAAAGATGCAAGTGGTAATTATTAGAGTCAATGTACCTAAATTTAATCTGTCAATTTGCTCTAAAAGTTTTATGATACTTTGTGTCTGTATTTGTCTCGTAAGCAGCCAGCAAAAACAGTTTATACAGAGGCACTTGTTTGTAGACCACACTTGAGTAGCTGTGCTACTGCAGTATTCAAAGAATCAAATTTTATATAAACCTCCTCACATCTCTTAATTTCAACACAGAATAAAAATGACAGAGTGCACTTGCAAATGTTGAAGGGGACAAGTTAAACTATAATTTTATAACAAGCTAATCTATATCTGAAATGCAAGAATAATTTGAGGAAAGAAAAAATATCAGTCGCAATCTAATTCCAACAAATGTAATGATGTCAACATGCGGAAGGCAGGAAAAACAGAATGAAGTCAGAGCATGGTGAGCACTAAGGTGCTTGCCTTGTTGAGGGAAGAGAGAGATTGCCTTGTTTGAGATATTAACAAGGAAAGTGGCTACTTTGTACTCTTAGGAATTCTCAGTGTGTCCACCCATAGAAGTAAAGAAAGGCCTTTCTCCCTCTAATCACACTACATATTATGTTCAAATTGAATGAAATGGTTAGAGGAAACAGTACCCAGTGTTCAGACAGGTGAGAAGAGAATGTGCTCTTACCAACCAGACTGGGAAACTTACAAATTCTGTGGGCACGGGGTAGAGGACCCAGAGAAGTCTTGTCCTAGGAACAGGGAATAATTATTGGCATTGAACTAAAAACTGATCTGATACCAACAAACAAATCTTAAAAGCAAGACTCAGAAGAGTCAAATTGCTTGCAAGAATCTTTACCTTCATCCCAGAAAAAGCTCAAATTCACAGTGTCTGACATCCAATAAAAAATTATCAAGAGTGGAAAGAATCAGGAAAATACAACTCATAGTTAACAGAAAATCAATAAATTAAAATTAACATAGAACCGATATAGGTGTTAAAAGACAAGGACATTGCAACAGAAGCTATAACTGTATTTCAGATGTTCAAAAGGTTCACTAGAGCTATGCATTTAGAAGAAAGACCCAAACTGAGCTTCTGGAGAGAGGAACAGCAGCATGTGAGATAAAAACTACATTGGATGGGATTAATGGCAGACACGCCATTATAAAAGTAAATTATTAGTGAACTTGAAGACATACAAATAAAACACAGAAAATAAAAAAAGTTTTTAAATAAAAAAAAAAAACAACCCTCAGACGAAGACAACAGCCTGGTGATGACCAGAGGGAAATGGGGCTTGGGGGCAAAAGAGGGTAAAAGGACAAAATGGTGATGGGAGGACCTGGGCTGGGGGTGGTGAAGACACAGTACAATCTACAGATGACAGTACAGAATTGTACACCTGAAACCTATCATGTAATTTTATTAACCAATGTCGCCCTCATAAATTTAATAAAAAATATTTTAAAAAGAAGAGTATAAGTGAGTCATGGGAAAAATTTAAAGGAACTAACAAAGGTAATTAGAGTCCTTGAAGAAGGGAGAAGGTGGATAGAAAAAAAGATTTGAGAAAGTATATGCTAAAATATATTCTAAGTTTGATCATTATAAATATCAAATCCAAAGTAAAGTCTTAGATTATTTGGGTTGCTATAACAAAAATACCATATACTTGGTGGCTTATATACAACAGAAATTTATTCTTCACAGGTTTGGAGGCTGAGAATTCCAAGGTCAAGGACCCAGCAGATTTGGTGTCTCATGAGAGCCAGGTTCCTGGTTCACGGGCGTCTGTCTTCTCGCTCTGTCTTCACATGACTGAAGGGGTGAGGGAGCTCTCTGGGGTGTCTTTTATAAGGACATTAATCTCATTTATGAGGGTTCCACCCTTATGACTTAATCACTCCTCAGTTTAGAGGTCCCATCTCTAAATTCCAGCACATAAGGGACTAGGTTTCAACATATGGACTTGGGGGTGCACATTCCATCTATACCAAAGTCCAGTGAACACGCACAAAAATAAAGACAACCACAGCACATAAAAATCATGTTTCTCAAAACCAATGAATTAAGGTGGTCAGAGTAAAAAAAAAATGTACAGAAGAACAAAAGTAAGGATGACACCATATTTGCTATAAACAATACACATGAGAAAACAGTGGAGAAACATCTTAAAGTACTGAAAAACATATTGTTAGTATGGAATTTGTACCCAGTAAAGTCTTTCTCAAAAATAAAGGTAAAGATAATTTTATTTTTAAGCACAAAAAATAACCATCACTGAGACCTACAATAAAAGAAACACTGAACGCAGTCATTTTGGCAGAAGGTGAATGGTAACTGATGGAGAATTGGATCTACACAAAGTCATGGAAAGCCTTGGAAATTAATTCTGTGTAGGTAACTGTAGAATTACTGTTTAAAATTTTAAAAATTAACTAATTCCTTAAACAAAAATAGCAATGAAGTATGAGCTTCATAACAGAGGAAACATTTAAATGTATGAGAGACAGCAGCACAAAGGCCAGGAGGAAAGACCCAAAAATACACTGCTGTCAGTCTCTCATACTGGACATGGAGTAATGGAATGTCACTTGAAATTAGAATACTGTAAGTTAAACATGAATACTATAAACCTTAAGCAACCACTAAAATAACAAATAAAACCTCTAGGAGATAAAATAGAAACATAAAAAATATTTAATTAGTCAAAACAAATGCAAACAATGAAGGAAAAGATAACAAAGTACAGATGGGACAATCAGAAAATAAATAGATGAACCATATATAAAATAACAGTAAATGCAAAGGCAGAGAGTTTTGGGTTGATTAAGAAATAAAATACCTAGCCCTGGCTGGTGTGGTTCAGTAGACTGAGTGCCAGCCTGAGAGCCAAAGGGTCACCGATTCAATCCTCACTCTAAGGCACATGCCTAGGTTGCCGGCCAGGTCCCCAGTAGGGAGCACATGAAAGGCAACCACACAATGATGTTTCTCTCCCTCTCTTTCTCCCACCCTTCTCCTTTCTATAAATAAATAAATAAATAAATAAATAAAATCTTTTAAAAGAAAGAAATAAAATACCTAAATATATGCTGCCTACAAGAAATATATTTTAAATATAAAGGCACAATAGGTTAAAAGTAAAAGGATGTAAAAGATATACAAACATTAACTAAAAGGTAGTTGGAGTGGCTCTTGCAATATCAGATAAAGTAAATTACAAAACAAAGAACATTACCCAGGATAAAGGTCATCCTATAATGATAAAGGGATCTATTCAAGAGAATATAGTACTGTGACCTTGGGTTAAGCAAATATTTCTCAATTACAACACTGAAAGCACAGTCCATAAAATTTTTTAAATTAATAAATTAAGGAACTAGATTCCTAGATAACCCTGCTCCCTATCCACACCCTTATTTCCATCCTGGTACAATTTGGGATTATCTTATAGCAACAGTGGGGAATTGTGATCCACCCCACCATTCTTTTGACATTGTTTCTGTAAATACTGACTCTGAGGAATATATAGCTTGTAAATAAATAGCACGTTTGTATAAGAATCCTAAGAACTAACTTAAGATAACACAGACTTTGACCTTCAGTCGTCCCAGGTATGGGAGATTTGCTGACCTTCGACCCTAAAACCAGGATAATGGAAGCTAAAGGTGAGGCACACCAGACCATCACCTGACCTGTTTTGAGATCCTTATCTCAATGGTACGTGTTGAACTACACATACTGACCTTTTCAAACCCCTCCCTTTTATCTCTTTGTTCTTCTTTCCCGCTCCCACCTTATAAAAATCTCTGCCTGCACTGAAATGTTAAGATGGGCTCTGAGACAAGAGTCCCCATCTTGTAGGTGACCAGAATGTGAGTAAGCCTCTTTCCTTCCCATCAGCACCTGTCTCACGAGTGTGGCTTTCATGGCAGCAGGCAGCCAGGCCTGTGCTCAGTTACATTGTCTGGAGAGGAGAAACTGATCACTTGGTCAGAGAGAAAACTGATGATAGGTTAGACAGAAACATAGTTTAATAAAATGCCAGTATATTAAAGAATTTCATATCCTATATTTGTAACCTCCATGTACCAATTTAGAAAGCTGTTTTCTGGGGAATTTGATTTGCCTAAGAGGAAAAACTTATAAAGATACTCAATAGCAGGAAGGCTCTGGTCAAGATGTTATCATAGGTACAGGGGGTACTCATGTCCTCTCACAACCACATCCAAGTTACTACTGAACTACAGAACAACCATTACTCAGAACCACCTGAAATCTAGCTGAACAGAAGTCCTACACTGAAGAATATACAGAAGAACCCACATCAAGACTGATAAAAGGGGTGGAGACTCAGAGGAGGCTAGGCACACACCCATGTGTAGCAGAATAAAATGAGGAGAAACATCTTCTCTGGGAAGGTCCTCCCTGAGGAGCAAGAGTTTCCAGCCCCACCCACCCCAGGCCCTCCAGGCCAGAGTTCCAGTGCCAGAAAGAGAAGGCCCCATAACTTCTGGTTGTAAAAACCAGCAGGGATTATAGTTGAATGAGACAAGGAGTGGCTGAGCCCCCGTGTTCCTCTTAAAGGGTTCTCACATGGACTTACTTGGACTCACTTGCTCTGAGTTCCACTGCTGGGGCAGCAGCATGAAAGACACCAGAGACAAACAAGGAAAAACTGAATTGGTTGGTATTGGGGTGAGAGCTGGAGAAGCAGCTTTCTTCCCGACAGAATTACTGACAGAGGCCATTGTCCCTTTCATAAGCTCTCCCCTGACAGAGCTTTCAGGCAGGCACCATACCTAGTCTTCATCAACCTGGCTCACACAGTTTGCCTACAGTGGTGATTCCCCGACACTCTGCACCATGCAACTTGCAGGTCCAACCTCAGCTGTTTCCAGTGGCTTTTCCATATGAACAGCATGTCTTGGCTCATGCTTTAGACTTTTCTAAAATCTCTCAAATCAGCAGCATCTGGCCTTTGCTTGCTGCATACCTCTCAATAAGTGGCCCCAGGCCACTCCTGGA